TATTTATGCTCATATCTTAACTCCTCTTGTGTTTTAACTTGGTAATTTCTGATCTTACTTACTTTGTCTATTTATGTTTCGTATTTATAGTTAATTTTTATTTTTATTAATATTATAGTTTTGGGTTTTTTGATCCTTTAACCACTTGTTTTTATTTCTTTTACTACGCTTACCTTCTCATTGCTTTTTATTTGCTTTTATCTCTTAGTTTCTTACATCTTTTTAAATCTTTGGTCCTCTTGGTCTCAGCTCGTGTTGTTGGGTTCTTGTGTTCCTGGGTTCTTATGATGGTTCTTATGATGGTTCTTATGATGGTTCTTATGATGGTTCTTATGATGGTTGGGTTATATATGTCTGGGTGTGTATCGTGCACTTTGGGTTCTTTTCTGTTGAATTGTATTTAATTATTTTTGGTATTTTGCATCTGTTATATTCTTACTGTTGTTAATGTTTTTTCTGTGTTTGGTTTAGTTTGCTTTGTTCTTGCTGTTTGTCAAAGCACTTTGTAAACCTGTGTTTTTAAAAGGTGCTATATAAATAAAGTTATTATTATTATTATTATTATTATTATTATTACCTCAGCTTGCTTGGTCAGAATGAAAATTGTTTCACAACGTGAAAAAATACAACGTCGTCACATTATCGTATTCAAAGAAATGTTTCCACGTACCTGAATAACAATGTCGTCAATTAATTAACAGCCTTCACGTCGTCTCGGATAGGACCAGCCTCTCAACGCCAAAGCGTGTCCGTCTTCTTCTGTCTCTTAGTGTTTCTTTCCCCGTCTGTGAAGTGATGTTGAATGAACCGCGCTCTCTTCCATATATAAGCCGTCACTTCTTCCCCAATAGGAGAGGCCCGCGATTGGCTGAGCGGCTGCTCGTTGGAACGCGCCGATTGGTTCCCCGCGGCACGCTGGCCGACGCTGATTTGCGCACTCTCGCGTCTTGGCAACGTCACCGATACTGGGCCGCTTTGTTGCCGCTGCTGATTGGCTGTCAGGCGAATTCGTGAACACAGTTGGAACAGTGAACATTTTTGTACAATTGTACAAACCCTGTGTAATATGTATGTGACTAATAAGTGACCTTAAAGTGAAGGCTGTTACATCAGATGAGTTAGATTGTCTGGACGTTTCATCATATAATGTACACAAGTTCAATTAAGGCTCAACATCCCCACTTAAAATGCAAGAAACCTGCAGTACTTTAAACCTTGACTTTATAACAGGCTCACAACAGCTTAAATTACAAATGCACTTAATTATTTTGTACAATATACACATCTGCAGGTCGAGGAGCACAGACAAAAAAAATCACACTCTATTCTACTATGACCCACAGTCACTTATGACAGAAGTCCAAGTAGGTCAAGATTAGGTAACTGGTTGCAATAGCTAACCCTTTTGAATATTTAGACTTGTCTCAGCAGAAGTATTAAGTATTGTCACAAACATTCTGTATCGGATGTGAATTGTGTTTGTTTTAATCATGACGCTCTATGGTTTTCCAACAAACACACAGTCTACTCTGTTGTAAAACCAATGTATGGTGTAAAAAAATACAAGAAACAGAGTGAAAAACACTTTTATAGCAGGAATCAATCTGCCACTGGGGTGAGGATCAAAAACAAATCAGCTTGTTTCAGGAATTTGTGAATTTGTATTGTTTAATAGTATCACTGATCTACTTTCTTTTTTTTTCTTTCTCTTTTATTATTTCTTCATTCAATCATGTGTTCATTAATGGGTTGTTTTAAGGGGTTCAAACTGTAGAAAAAGGAGCACATTCAAACAACAAAAACACTTCTGATGAATAACCACATAAAGAGTTACAGAAAGTAGAAAAGTCAGCAAATTCGATGTGTCCTTAAAGAGCACTGATGCAACGCTGCACACTGCTGCTCTACCCTGATTAAAATATGTTATTCTACTATATTGTTTCAATGGGTAACACCAATATAGTTAATTAATCATTTGTAGCAAATTCCTGAAACTGTTCACACTCATTTCGTGGCTTTTCTACTAATTTTGCCCTATATCTTGAAAACAGACGGAATAATAATAATAATTCTAGAAAATTCATGAACTAGACAGACAAAGAATGATTGCTGATTGCGTCCTGCATGGTGTTGGGCACCAACTATATAATTCTACATTTCACCTACGGACCCTATACATTTTTTGTCTTTTGTGTAGGTCAGTCTTAATCAAGCCATAGTTTTTTTTTCTCCCTAAAATTGAAAGTAGAACTATGGCACTACAAGATGAATGCTGGAGGGAGTGTCAAACATCATATACCAAAAAACATAACAGCTAATCCAGTAAAAAAATACAATTATTCATGTAGAAATTATTCATAATTTACAATATGCTGCTTTTTCCTTTTTGTCTTTTTATTTCCCAAGTTGGATTAACCCAATTAGGATAATTATTTATGTGCAAGGATATTGAAGACACTTAGAATATCTCAGTTAGAAACCAAAATATCAATTGATAGCCTTGGTTGAGTAAATACTGGATTAAAAACTATTACTTTATTGAAATATGTTAGGCCGGATTGAGACCAGTATCTGCAAATAAATTATTATTATTATTCCTGTTTTTTGAATCAACATTTTGTTGTAACAAAAAAATGTCCCCATAATGGGGGATCAAATAAGTTTTATCTTATCTTATCTTCTTTTACAAACAGTAATAGGCTAAGTATTGCTGTGTTATTATCATTTTGATTAGGCCTACCACGTAAAGTGGTTTAATTGAGTTAGTGTATTTCTATTTACATTTATTATTACTCTGGATTTTCATGGAGGCTTATAGAATAGAATAGAATAGAATAGATGTTTAGTGCCATTTGCACAGGTACAGGACAGTACAGGTACGTTGGAATTCTTGTGCGTTTCTCCGAGTCAGCTTCTGCAAAAAAAAAGTTAAAATTATATATAAGATAGATTAGCATTGTAAGAAGAAAAAAAAGAGTAGAAAAGTATAAAAAATGTAAAAGTAAAAAAGTTGTAGTAACAGCTAAGTGATTTAAAATAAACTACAGAAGTTATACACTGTATTAAAGCAAAGATATAATACAAAATAAAATAACAAGGGGAACACTGTACAATGAAATGAAAATATAAATAAGTTTTCTTATTGCACATATTATCTCTTATTGCACCTGAGGTTACAGGCTATAGGTTACAGACTATAGGTTAGGCTAATAGAGGTTATAGGCTAATTAAATGTGAGTGAACTTGATAAGAGACAAAAGTGCACATATGGATGCCAAAGTTGTTATCATTAATGTCATATTAACTCCGCAAATTGAAAACAGGCTACAATGTTTACATTTGTACACGTTTGTATTAAGGTTGTTCAATTTTGTTAAATTTACAAATTATCCCTGCACTCACGTTCACTTCATTTGTCTGTCTACTCGCCGTTATATTGAATAGTTTCTGCTTATAACATGTCTACACTCATGCACTTATGTCAATACTGTCCATTTACTCATTGAATTATGTCAATACTGTCCATTTACAACTCTGTTTTTGCACATTTACGTTCAATCTTCCATATTTAATCTTCCTATTTAAGACTAGTAATGCTTAGTTAGACGTTGAAATACACTGTAGGCCGATTTCAACACGTATTTTTAATGCAAGATGCAAATTAATTCATAAAAAAAGAATATTATTTATTATTGTCTGCTGGCAGGCACACTGTAGGCCTACTAATGGTTAGCGCTAGAACTTGTACACACAAAAGTGCAGAAAAATAAAAATGACAACTTTAGACCAACAACCTGTTTGGAAATACATACATTAATCTATTACTGTAGGCCTACATTCACAGAATATAATATATCTGTTATTATCTCTGTTAATGTAGGCCTACATTCACAGAATATAATATATCTGTTAATATATCTGTTACTGTAGGCCTACATTCACAGAATATAATATATCTGTTCATATATCTGTTAATGTAGGCCTACATTCACAAAATATAATATATCTGTTCATATATCTGTTACTGTAGGCCTACATTCACAGGATATCTGTGAATGTAGGCCTACAGCTGTTTGCTGTTGTTTCAGTACTGAACTATAACGGAATATCGAGTGGAACTTTTCAAAACGCAAGGCGTACTTCTGTTGTTGTTTATGTGTGTGCGTGAGCATAAATTGAGCAGATTAAAGTTGTTTGTTGCAAAAACTAGATTAATTTAGAGGGGAAAACACATTTGATATAAATACAACCCAATAGATACAAGATACAAAAATTGTGGTTTTATGCTGATCGGGTTTGTTTTTTATATTGTGGAGATTTCTTTGCGTACCACCACAGGGAGCCCATACCATAGTTTGAGAACCACTGATCTAGGTAATTGAAAGAGACTGTGCAGAGATATTATGTCTGCAGTTACAAGCAATTTCAAAAATGTTGACTGACTTTGATTGTGAAAAACCATATTGCTAAAAGGTGTTTATCATTGTTGTTTACTTTGAAGTGTCATCTGTGTTCCCATGTCTTCTATATTGTTAGACATTTTTGGGGGTATTTTTCCTCTCTCTGACTCCCCCAGATAATCATGAGTGGGACATCCCAGAGTGGGAGGGTTTGGACTCGCGGTATGAACACTACTGCTTTGTCCCAGAAAGCTGTCCTCAGAGCCTGTGGGTGTTTGGAGGGGCACAGCAGAGCGGCAACCGCAATTGTATCCAGAATGTACAGCTAACAGGTAAATCCCAATTCAAATGAATCCAGTACTCTTTTATTTTCAGATGGTTTCCCTGACTAATTCTAATTCACATGAAGAAGAGGTGCTAATATACTGTGTATGTTACTTTGGAATTATCTGATGTAGTGAAAAACTAAAGTCTCTCTGCCCTCCTTCAGACAAGTTTGTAATCTTTCAGGTATATAAATAACTCTATTAATGTAATTTTTGTTTATAATAATGCTGGACATACAGCGTCTTTCCATTTAACTTGATGTTTGATTTCTATTTCAATTCTCAATTTTTCTTTTTTTTTATTTGTTTGTGAAAGATCCTGTTAGTAATTTCGGTTTATGTCAATTTTGGCGCTCTCTGTGGACAAAACAGTACATCTTATTTCACTGCTGATTTTTTCCTGTACATGTATAAAAATTGTTTTTAACAAAAAATCTCATGCTACTTTCTTCAAACAGTCAAACGTATCACTGATTGTGAATATTTTCCATGGAAATTCCTTTGCAGCGAGCTGTAAATCACCTGGTACACCTACCCCGCTGCAATAGTTACAGGCGTTCAAAAGACCAAGTATAGAAACAATCAGAGTTGTTTTCTTTTGTAGGTCATATAAGGACATCCGTTTTCATTTCAGTCTGTTTCATGACGTAGACAGCAATACGGGAATATGGGATCACTTTTATCTTAATTACCCCCCAGCCTCTTCCGCCTGGTCCCAACCGGAAACACAAGGCAGACAGCCGCCAGACAAACATGGCCATGTTATCGTAGCAGCAGGTTCAAAGATCTACATCCATGGGGGCATGGCCGGGGACAAATTCCACAATGACGTGTTCTCTCTCGATACAAGTAAGACTGATCACTCCTGAAGTGTAATACGTTTTGTGTGTGATTTAAAAAAATAAAATCTATTTTCAAAGTTTTCTAAATGATAATACAAGATTAAAATAAAGAGCCTCAAAACTTGGGAATGTCATGTTTGTTTGATTAAAAAAATAAAACAAAGTGTCTACTGTTCAAAGAGATCATGAAGTGGGAGAAGGTGCAAGTCAAAGGAGATATCCCACCAGGAGTAGCAGCCCACTCAGCTGTGGCTTTGGGAAAGAACATCTATATCTTTGGGGGAATGACAGCAGAAGGAGCGACCAACTCCATTTAATTTACAGATGTAGACAAAAAAGTGAATTATTAGGTATTTCTGGATGGCTGGATTAATGGGATGCAATAAATATAAATAAATGCTATAAATAAGTGATGCTACAAAATAAGTGTATTCTTAGGATTATAATATACAGATTAAGGTGCAGTGAGCATGCTATACTAATAATATACAGATTAAGATGCAGTGAGCATGCTATACTAGTTTACAGATAATATAAAGAATATGGACATAATATGAACATACTATAATACAATAATACAGGTTGAGAGATGTGTGTGTGTGACCAGGAGGAGTGGTGGGGGGATGATGGGTGTGAGGTGATATGCAGGGGAAAGGGGTTGGGGGGGGGGAGAGAGAGAGACAGAGTTCAGAGTTCGGGGGGTAGAGTTCAGTAGAGAAACAGCTCTGGGGAAAAAGCTGTTCCTCAGTCTGCTGGTTCTGGTCCGGAGGCTTCTGAAGCGCCTGCCGGAGGGCAGGAGGGTAAACAGTCTGTGGGCAGGGTGGGAGGAGTCTTTAAGGATGCCATGAGCTCGCCGCAGACAGCGTGTTCTTTGGACATCCTCAATGGCAGGAAGTGGACACCTTGTGATGCGCTGGGCGGTTTTTACCACCCGCTGTAGCGCCTTACGGTCTGCGACAGAGCAGTTTCCGTACCAGACTGAGACACTGCTGGTCAGGATGCTCTCGATCACACAGCGGTAGAAGTTCATCAGTACAGCTGAAGACAGGTGGTGTCTCTTCAGTGTCCTCAGGAAAAAGAGGCGTTGATGAGCCTTCTTAACCAGACTGGAGGTGTTAGTGGACCAGGAGAGGTCCTCTGTGATGTGGGTCCCCAGGAACTTGAAGCTGGAGACACGTTCAACAGCCATCCCGTTGATGTGAATGGGGTTGTGCGTGCTTCCTCTTTCTCTCCTGAAGTCTACGATGATCTCCTTCGTCTTGCTGGTGTTGAGGAGCAGGTTGTTGTCAGCACACCAGGCGGCCAGATGCTGTACCTCCTCCCTGTAGGCCGTGTCATCGTTGTTGCTGATGAGGCCAATCACCGCTGTATCGTCCGCAAACTTGATGATGGTGTTGGATCCATGTACAGGTCTGCAGTCGTGAGTGAAGAGGGAGTAGAGGAATGGGCTCAGCACACAGCCCTGTGGTACGCCTGTGTTGAGTGTGATGGTGGTGGAGCAGGTGTGTCCTGACCTAACATACTGGGGTCTGTTGGTCAGAAAGTCCATTATCCAGTGACGGAGGGAGGTGTTGAAGCCCAGGTCTCCGAGTTTAGTGTTTAACTTGGAGGGGATGACAGAGTTGAATGCTGAGCTAAAATCAACAAACAGCATTCGTGCGTATGTTTTGTTATTGTCCAGATGAGCGAGCACAGAGTGCAGCGCAGTGGAGACTGCATCCTCTGTACTCCTGTTGCTGCGGTAGGCAAACTGGAATGGGTCCAGTGTGGGTGGGAGGCAGTTTTTCAGGTGTGCTAGGACCAGTCGCTCAAAGCACTTCATTATGATGGGTGTGAGTGCCACAGGGCGGTAGTCGTTCAGGCCTGTCGGGCTGGAGTGTTTCGGCACTGGGACAATGGAGGTGGCTTTGAAGCATGCTGGCACAGCTGCTTGGGCGAGGGACAGGTTGAAGATGTCCGTAAAAACCCCAGTGAGCTGCTCCGCACATGCTCTAAGCACGCGCCCGGGGGTGCCGTCTGGACCAGCAGCCTTTCGAGCGTTGATCCGGCTCAGTGCAGCGTGGACGTCTGTGGAGGTGAGTGAGAGGGGCTGGTTGTCTGCAGGAGGTCTGGTCGTGGTCTGCGTCTCTCTGTTGTCTCTATCGAAACGAGCATAAAAGTGATTTAGCTCGTTCAGGAAGGAGACATCTGTGGTTATCGGGGTGGAGTTTCTGGGTTTATAGTCACTGATGGCCTGGATGCCCTGCCACATGCGTCTGGGGTCGGAGTTGGAGAAGTGTTCCTCAACCTTCAGCTTGTAGCAGTGCTTGGCCTTGATGATACCCCTCCTCAGGTTTGCCCTGGATACGCTGTAGGCCATTGCATCATCTGATCTGAAGGCGGTGTTGCGGGCCTTCAGCAGGAGACGCACCTCCTTGTTCATCCATGGCTTCTGATTTGGGTACGTGGTGATCTGCTTCCATGTTGTAACACTGTCGATGGTGGTGTTGATATAATCCAGCACAGAAGAAGTGTAGGTGTCAATGTCTGTGTGAGAGCCCAAGGTAGCCTGAGAAGCAAACATACTCCAGTCTGTGTGATGGAACTTGTCCTGAAATACAGAGTCTGTCCCCGCTGGCCACACTTTAATCGTTGTAAATTGTCTTTAATTGTCGTAAAACTGTGGTTGAGAAGTTTAAACCTCCAATGTTATCCATTATGTTTGCAGACAAAAGCAGATGGGTCCTTATGAAGTTTGAAGGGGATATGCCCCCCAACCGCCTGGACCACTCCATGTGTTTATTGCCCTGGACGGTGCATGCTGAGGGGAATGGAGATAAGGAGCAGGCCGACTGCCCAACAGCCTCAGAGACAATACATTTGGCCTTTGTATTTGGAGGGATGGATACCCAGGGTGTCATCAGTTCATTATGTACATCTAAGTGCCACTAACAGAGAGGCAAGAAGTCGTCTTGCTCGGCTTCTGCGCCCTCTGGTGGTGGTCCTCCTGCACTGCCGTAAAGCTTGCTGATAATTGGTTGTACCACTTCCTCAAGCTCCTTCTTCTTAGCCTGGAAGTCTTCCCGCTCAGCCTCCTGGTGTGACTCCATCCACTCAATCTTCTCCTCTACTGCCTTCTCAATGATTTCTTTGTCCTCATCCGACAGCTTGCCGCCGAGCTTTTCCTTGTCTCCGATCTGGTTCTTCAGAGAGTAAGCGTAGCTCTCCAGCTCATTGCGGACGTCGATCCTCTCCTTCAGCTTCTTGTCGTCATCGGCGAAGCGCTCTGCATCGTTCACCATGCGCTCGATGTCCTCTGGCGTCAGGCGGTTCTGGTCGTTTGGGATGGTGATCTTGTTCTTGTTGCCTGTACCTTTGTCCTCGGCTGTGACAAGCAGGATACCGTTGACATCGACCTTGAAGGTGACCTCAATCTGTGGCACACCACGAGGGGCGGGAGGGATGCCAGTCAGGTCGAATGTGCCCAGCAGATGGTTGTCTTTTGTGAGAGGATGCTCACCTAGAGACAGAATCAATGAATAAACTTTTGCAAAATTCCATTTTTTTTTCTGCATACCAAAAAAAAAAAAACAGCTATTTTTAAACTTTTTTTTCTTCATGTTGGGTATGCACAATTCTTACCTTCATAAACCTTAATGGTGACAGTGGGCTGGTTATCAGAAGCTGTAGAGATGATCTGGGATTTCTCTATAGGCACCGCAGTGTTCCTGGGGAACAGTTTAGTCATCACTCCTCCAACAGTCTCAATACCAAGAGTCATGGGGCACACGTCCAGAAGAAGAATATCTCCTGTAAGATAGGAACATTATTAGTACACAATATAAAAGCTAGTTCAGCGAATTAGAATTAAATTAAATGATGTGAGACGATGATAACCTACCAGTGTCCTTGTCTCCAGAAAGCACTCCAGCCTGCACAGCAGCTCCGTATGCCACGGCCTCATCAGGGTTGATGCCTCTGCAGGGCTCTTTGCCATTGAAGAACTCCTTCACCAGCTGCTGGATTTTGGGGATACGGGTGGAGCCTCCAACCAAGACAATCTCATCAATGTCAGGCTTCTTCAGGCCAGAGTCTTCCAGTACTTTCTGCACAGGCTTCATGGTGGAACGGAACAGGTCCTGTAGAAAGAAAAAAGGTTCAACTGTTAGTAAATCATGTTTCATAAACAAGAGGGTAACATTATACTAGAGTTACAGTTTTTCTATAACCAAAATGTTGGTTCAATTATTTACCATGTTGAGCTCTTCAAACTTGGCACGGGTCAGGGTCTCAGAGAAGTCCTCTCCCTCAAAGAAGGACTCGATCTCAATGCGGGCCTGGTGCTGAGCGGACAGCGCCCTCTTTGCCTTCTCGACCTCACGACGCAGCTTCTGCACTGCCCTGTTGTCTTTGTGCACATCTTTGCCGGTCTTCTTCTTGTACAGCTTGATGAAGTGCTCCATGACGCGCTGGTCGAAGTCCTCACCTCCAAGATGAGCGTCACCACTGGTTGCTATCACCTCAGACACACCGTTGTCGATGGTCAGCAGGGAGACGTCGAAGGTGCCACCGCCAAGATCGAAAACGAGAATTTTCTTCTCGCCGTCTCTCTTGTCAAGACCGTAAGCAATGGCGGCAGCAGTTCTAAAAAAAAAAAAGGAAGATACGTTAATACAAAAATGAAGGGAAATATTTTACAAACACAACAACAAACATCATTTTCATTCAAAACTTACGGCTCATTGATGATTCTCATGACATTCAGACCAGCGATGGTTGCAGCATCCTTAGTGGCCTGACGCTGGGCGTCATTGAAATAGCCAGGGACAGTGAACACAGCATGTGTAACCTGACAAAAAAGATAAACTCATTTGCTTTGATTGAACATCATTTTGATGAGGTACATATTTTAAATGTATTTTTTTCATGTGTTTGTACCTTCTTGCCCAAATAAGCCTCAGCAGTCTCCTTCATTTTAGTCAGCACCATGGCAGAGATCTCCTCAGGAGCAAATGTCTTCATCGTGCCACCACCAATGTCTACCTGAATATGTGGCTTGCTCTTCTTCTCAGTTACCTAAAAAGGAACATGAATCAATGTTACAAACAGAGAATGAAGCTCAAACGATACCAAAAAAGGACCTTAAGACTCTTAACAGTAACGTCAAGAAGTGTGGAAACTTACTTTGAACGGCAGGTACTTGATGTCCTGCTGCAAGTCGAGTCTCCCCAAGTGCGCCCAATCAACCTCTTGGCATCGAAGACGGTGTTCTCAGGGTTAGACGTCAGCTGGTTCTTGGCAGCGTCGCCAATCAGACG